CAGAACACTGGACTCCTGAAGGTAAACAGAAGAGAGGTCGCCCCAAAATCACATGGCGACACATGGTGGAAACAGAGCTCAGTGATATGGATCACATCTGGGGAACTATCAAGCGTTAAGCAAAGGATCGACTGGTGTGGAGGAACTTCGTTGCTGCCCTAAACGCTACTGGGCAAAATAGGCAGTAAGTAAGTAAGTAAGTCCCATTTCAACATTCTGCAATCCCAAGAGGTACTCAGAATTTGGCAATTGAAGGTAACAGTATATAAGATATGTGCGAGACAAAGTGCTGATGGGGGATACATTTACTTATCTGAACTTAGTATTCATAATTGTGCCAAGTTGTGTTCATGAATGTGACCACTTGTGAAAGTGTCATAATTAATCAAGTGATTGAGAACCAGAGGTTACTGTTAATGAGACATGACTGTCATATCACATAATTAGAATTTATCCTTGCTGGAAATTTAATAGAATTCATGCACAGTACCAACAATCAAATATTTTCTTGATTTCCTGCTTGAGGTTTAATCACGGTCATCTTCTGTCTGCGATTTGAGCAGTTGTTGTAATATGTATTATACAGCTACCACTTTATCATCTCAACTTTTCTGATAGACTTGCTTTTCTTTGGGATTTTTCTGTAGGTGACACTTGTTGAATAGCCAATAGAATTTCATATACCCCCCCTCATTTTACAACTCTCAGAGAGCAGGATGAGCTATATGCTATTGTAAAGCCAATATATTGCACCATGGTCCCTTAGGCCTAACATTATGACTTTACACACACCTCAATGCAATATACTTACATGTGTACACAACGAAACATTGCAATATACTTATTGTATTAGATAGATTGAAAATACAAGATATAGATTATTTATATATAATTATATGAAACTGATTTCATCAGCATAATAAAGCCTGAAATTAGAGTTGAACATCGGATACATCGACATGCATGTTCTAAATTGATATAAAGACATAAAGGGTTGTTGCATATGACTGTCATAGCTGGCCCATGAAAAGTGTTAAAGTAAAGCCTTTGCATTGCTACATATGTTAGCAAGGCAACTATTCTACCTAGGAGCAAGCCCTGTGGATTGATTGGGGTTTTACTCTAGTTTTAAATCTTCTCAATAGCTAAAAGGTCATAGACTCCATCTACAGATAATAAGACCAATCAGCTAAGGTCATCATATGACAAGGTGTCCATGACAATGGTATCACTCAAAGGTCAATTAGAGTGACCTCTCAATGAAAATTCAGAACCTTGACAAATCAGTAACATGGTCCCCCCCCCCCCCCCCTCCATTCATATTATTCTGCCAATAGGCTTACAATAGCCTAGAGTCCTTATAAGGAAGGGATAATGTGTTGGAAAATATTGCAATATATATCACAACACCCGAAGTTGAAGCATCACATGGCTTTTCTGATCCCATTTCCCAGCCCTAGCAAATGAGAGCTTCCTAATGATCAGCCAAACATTTAAACATAGCCAATGACATATCATACTGATAGGTGAAAGGTGCATCATAAGGACTTGCAATAAATACTGTTGTTTAAGTTTAATTCACGCCAAGGCTACGACCTCCGTATGCAACTAAAACTGAAATCTTATGCGTTCCTCCAACACATTGGTCAAAAAGCCTGTGAGGGTGACAGTCACAAAATATTGTAGTGCAAATCTATAAAATTTGTACTTGGGAAGTACACTGTAGGGGATTTTCTGGGTTATGACAATCACCCGGAGGGTCAAGTCTTTGTATTGTAATGAAGGCTTGCAGCAAGAAATAACTAGGCCTAGACAAATCATTCATGGCCGGTAGACATTTCCATCATGTGTCTATTGCTGGAATGTACACTGTAGGGGAAAAGCCATTGGTTCTGGGTGTCTGTGTCTTTACATCATACAGTTTAATGGGTAGCACTGCAATATAATTCAAAGGACTTAACAGAGTAAGCAGCTACAGCAAGATCCTTGGAACCTGGCAAGTCCACATGGCATATGAATTGCACATCCATCTGGACTTCTTACAGAAAACCGCTGATATATATTCGTACCAAATGTGGTGATGAGGGATGTATGTATGCCAGGTCATAAATATATTCACAAAATACATGGTCCTGTGACACGAACAGGAACCAAGCCCTTATGCCTTGTATATTTGGCATATCGATGGTAAAACATATCTGATGAAATTATAAAACTTTACAATGTGTGAAGGAAATTATAAACTATAAGACTGCGCAATAATAGTTTATATTTACTATTTCTTTTATAATCAAACAAAAATGTCAATCAACCAATTTTCTAAAAAAAAGTTCCTTTCAAAAGTATTTAGTAGTGAAGGACTGATCAACAATAAAATGCATCATCATTGTCCAAGATTTCAAAGTCATGGAGACATATTCTTTCTTCAAAAACCTGTCAACATATACTTGTAGGTTACTATACCCACAAAACATGTCAACATATACTTGTAGGTTACTATACCCACAAACATGTCGGGATGTTTAGTTCTCTTAGATACTCAATTATTTCTATTTAACCCTTTAATGGGTGACATGTTTACGACAAAAATGTTCAATAGGGAAGATAACTCTCTCTACTTTATACTTAATCAGCGAAGGCTTCAGTCTGATGTTTATCGTTTGAGGAAACAAATGAAGGGTGTATAATTTTTGTAAATCCTAGAATAACACACCAAAGAATCAAGTGTCTTTCAATACCATTAATGTTACCCTAAGTAATGGAACTATCTAGTTATACTTGCAAGAATTTAAAATACTTGATATGTGATCCTTGATATATTCCCTAAATATCAATTATCTGTTGTTGTGCTACTTCCCAATGAAGCCCATATTTCCCTTATTTTACCTTACCTGATCCGTCATGTCAGACTGATAACAGCTTTTGGCTATAACTTAACCTATTCTATCATTGTCCTACAGTTTGACCTTTACCGATAAAGACATTCAATCCATCAAACTTTTACCAAATGTTAAATTATAACATCACACGAATCCATAACAAAGTCTTTGCTTAACACGATGAGACAATGGATCACTGACTTTTCTTTCAGCGATAAATCTTTTGATTAATCTCTGAAGAATCCTTATTAGATTGTCTCCTCATCGTTTGATGAGCGACAAAGTTCACAGACTAGACATATTACACACAGTATATGACCATTAGGCTCCCCATCTTTCAAAATAAACCATATCTAAATGTGAATTTCTTTTTCCTGGTAACCTAAGCTTGTCAACTTAATGAAAAGTCATTGCTTCACTAACCAAACTAATTAGCAGAATCTTACGTAGCCAAAATAAAATCCCCAATAATCCCTGCGCCTGTTAGAACCGACGCGATATTAACCTATATTTATGGCGATTCTAGTGCAGTACTCACTAGTTCAGTGGGACATGGCCTCTTATACATGATTTTAATCTATATACTGTTCCATCTATTCTGAATATGCACGCATCCTAATTTTCTTGGTGTAAATTCCCAATATTCTTCCTCACAAAATTTATTTTGTGGATGAAGCAAACATCCTTGACTAGTTTACAAAACACATTGTCATTACTACCAAACTTGGAAAAAATATATGGTTCAAATTTCAGACTATGACTTTTAAAAAAATCACTGTCCATAGGTTTTTACATGTTCTAGATCATGCACTGACTGGTAAACAGAACTATAAATACAATGTCTGTATAATTGTTCACAGACAATAATTAACCCTGACTAACCACATTACGTAGAGCTTATATTTACCAGAGGATTTAGTGTCTTCTATAATTGTAGCCTAAAATGAGTGAAATGTCACTAGAAATGACCTATGGGCCATACAAAAGCCCTTGATTAAGGAGCATGTACCTAATAAAAGGACTGGAAAATAAACTTTGGCTCAGTTTCTGTAAATCAACCTTAATTTGTCACCCCCAAAATCAACAGACCTTCCTCTTCAAAAGCACCAACATCCATCTAAGTTTGGTCTAGATCTGGTAATCCACCAGAAAACAATATAGCTACTGTAACTGTAACTTCCATTATCCCCAAACTCAATAGGGATTTTTTCTTTCAAGGGACATCACCCATCCAAGTTTGTTTGAGATCGGACGTATCCTTTAAGAGATAACATCAGAAACGCAATAGTTTCCTACAAGTTTATTTAACAGCCACTGTGACCTTGACCTTTGCTTTAGTGACCCCAAAATCAACAGGCTTTTTCTACTCCCCTATGGGCAATATTCCTCCCAAATTGGCTACTGAAGAATTTACCCTTCAAAAGTCATTCTGAAACCAACAATTTTATAAAATTTCAGTTTTTGTTTTAGATATCATATGACCTTGGACCTAGAAACCAACGAGGCCTGTTAAAACCAAAACACAACAGGAATCTTTCCTTTTCGAATAGCATTGTCCCTTTAAGTTGAGTTCAGATATGATGCAGCAATCATCAGTCTATTTATAGCCATTGCAACCTTAACCTTTGACTTATAGTGACCCCAGGAATGATAGGCTTCTTCTTTTCTCGCTTAATTTCTGTTTACAGCAATTGTAAGATTACACTGACGAATAAGACACATGGCATGTTACTTAGCCACATAGGATAATCTTGCACACAAAGTTCTTCCTGTTGAAGTGCCCAATTAACACACACTGATTCTCTTAAACATGCTCATGCATCTGAATCAGTGAAGTTCCAGGGACCGATTGAACTTCATAGACCACATACAGGTATCATTCAACACTGATGACGAGGCTCAATACTTCTTTCTTAATCCCTAATCAGACATTATGCTCCTTGTAAACTGAAAGAAAGATGATATGAAGATATGGTTTCAGTTTCACAATTCACTGAATTCATCTTGCAGGTAAGTTTTTTGCTGTAACTTTTGTTAAGGAGAAATCTTAACTTGAGCTACAGAACATTCGTGAAACCAGAGCCTGGTCTTTCATGCTTTTAATCTAAATGGAATACTCACCACTACAAGGTTCCACATCTTGGCCGCCTGGGCCACAAAAGTGGACACGATACTACATCCAGACAACACCATCATCTTGGTGGGTTTCTGATACAATAGCTGGTACAACACCTTGGTTCCCAGTCCTGGCCGACACTGTAACAGAGAGCGGTCATAAAGCAAACTGGTAACATCACAATTTTTTATAAGCAAATAGACCATGTTTAAGTCAGCATAAATAATAGGCCATGTTTAAGTCAGCATAAAAACTAGGCCATGTTTATGTCAGCATAAAAAATAGACCAGGTTTAAGTCAGCATAAAAACTAGGCCATGTTTAAATCAACATAAATAATAGACTAGGTTTAAGTCAGCATAAAAACTAGGCCATGTTTAAGTCAGCATAAAAAATAGACCAGGTTTAAGTCAGCATAAAAACTAGGCCATGTTTAAGTCAGCATAAATAATAGACCATGTTTAAGTCAGCATAAAAACTAGGCCATATTTAAGTCAGCATAAATAAAAGACCAGGTTTAAGTCAGCATAAAAACTAGGCCATATTTAAGTCAGCATAAATAAAAGACCAGGTTTAAGTCAGCATAAAAACTAGGCCATATTTAAGTCAGCATAAATATACTGTTAACAGACTTGTTTAAGCACACTCAAATTTTAGCATATTATTAAATTTTAACAGTTTTGCATATTGATGAATAGGCACACCCACGAAATATGCAGTTGAGAACAACATACAGGAACTTCANGAAGAGTTTTGAAATTTTAGTCAATTTGACCCTTTTTGGCCCCGCACCTCAGGCCCCTGGGGGCTTAGGACTAAACCGGCAACCATTTTTGTTGACCTTTGTCCATGGAAGGTCCCTGCAAAATTTCATTGAAATTGGTTAAGGGGTTTTGGAGAAGAAGTTGAAAATGTAAATTGTTTATGGACGCATGACGGACGACGGACGACGACGGACAAAAGGCGATCGCAATAGGTCACTTGAGACTTTGTCTCAGGTGACCTAAAAAGTGTGAAAAGCACTAAAATAAGACTACCACTAAAATATGTACATAGAGTAATTAATATTTTAGTCCTTATTTAAGCTTGATTTGCTAGGATCTAGTAAGTATTAACAAGTCTTTTCAAAATTCCATGTTAAGATCTTATAGATCTTTCTGAATTTTAACTCAATTACTTTCAATGTGCACCTGAAATGAAAAGGTAGTATATTCGACCCTATTGTACATGGAATGTAAGACACATTTATTGACCTTGCTCATGGCCACTTGACCGCTAAAAAAGGTCCTCTTGGTGCCGTAACTATTTTCACTCTTTCGTCCCTGAGTAAACGCAATGGACATTTGATGTCAGTGATCTGAACCAATGAAGTGTGATCACTGCGATGAGAAGAGTAACCAATCCTGACGTAGCTCGAGGCCTGTTTAAACAGCAGCACAGAACCAGGGAAGTGAAAACCTTACCAAAATACAAACAAAGTGTGTCTGGCTGTCCTAACTTGGCTAACCAATCAGAGATGCGTGGCTGGGGGCTGTTGGTCAAACATGGACAACATACAAGGACAGTATTACTCTATCTGGCCCCATCACCCGACACACACTACCTAATACTACAGTGTTTGTTCCGGTATAGAGAAATACAAGCTTTTCTCTGTGGTCAGCTTAACGCAGCGTTACAAATTTAACATCCTTTCTAATCTTGAGGACTACCATTCATGAAAGAAACACTAAAACTAAATTATTCCTTGTCGAATATGCATGCAAATGTCATTAGTACATAAATGAATTATTGAATGATTTTCTTTCCGATGCAAAAATATAGCTGGAGAAATATACTACTTCTTTTTTTTATTAAGATGAAAGCTTGCAAAGAAAAGACAGGAGATATGAAGTTATTTTTCCTCTGCTGAAGTTTGACACCAGGTCTTACTAACCATACCGGCTTTACTTCTAGCTCCGTATTTGCCATCCAATATAACTTGAATCTGAAGTCTTTGAGTTGATTGGACCATTGAAACACTACTCCATAGAATCCTTTGAAATTCAGTTATCTTTATACCAAGGAAATCTTCAAAAATCTAAAAAAACTTATTTTTAGAACTGTCTGCAAACATTACGTGCCTTTTTGTGATAACTGATACTGAGATGATCAAGAATGACTGCACCTTGTCGGATATTCCTGGATATTTCTACACCAATCAGAAGGAGTAATCTACGGTACTATTACCCTTGACAGCTTTAATTTTATTCTCTGATAAAATAATGAAAAATTTAGCTTTCTGGAAAGTACTTTATCATTTATAGTTTGTAGGTCTAATCTTCAAATGAAAAAGAATGAAACCTCTTTACATTGAACAGCCATAAGGGGCAGTATATATAAGTATCTTGATTACTGTATAGCGGTTATATCTCGTGGGGTTTTTAATTTTGCTGTTTTTGTGCTTTGACTAATATCCGCAAATTACAAACACCAGCAAAACTAGAACACTGACAGGTCAGTAAGGGCCCCGTCTTGTGGCATATATCCCCCATAAACATCAAGAAGCAATCTGCCCATATAGCTGAGCTTGACGTTTGACATTTGGACTTCAAAAAGAATCGCAAGGAAGCAAAATATACATTTTACATGTACTATGATCATGATGTGAGTCTTGTTTCCTTCCACCTCCATATTTGCTGGGCTAACAGAAATGTAAATACCAGTGCAATACTCATTTGTTAGCTTTGATTTGTTTTATTTCACCTTATATACCTCCTCCATCAAGAGTCAGGGTCAAAATCAGAGATCCACTTTGTCTTTGACCTTTGGACCCATAGGCCTTGACCATTAACCCAGTGACCCTGATATTTGGTCAGTTTACTTATTCTTTAATTCCGACCAACTTTGCTTTATAATATCATAAAAAAATGTTCATCAGTGAAAAATACAAAACTTGACCTTGACCCTTTGGACCCCGTAACCTGGACCTAAGGTCAGTTGACTCTGTGTTAATTTCTGAACAAGTTTGCTACATAATCACATAAAATGACCTTGACTTTAAGTCAGTTGACTCCTTTTTAAATTCGGAGCAACTTTGCTTCATAAAGTCATAACAAAATGTTCATCAGGGAAAAGATACAAAATTTGATTGTGACCTTTGACCCAGTGACCGTGACCTTTGGTCAATTGACTCCTTGTTTAATTCTGAGCAACATTGCTTCAAAGTGTCATACCAAAATGTTCACCAGTGAAAAGATGCAAAATTTAACCTTGACCTTTAACCCAATGACCTTGACATTTGGTCAGGTTGACTCCTTGTTTAACTCTGATCATTTTTGCTTCATCATGTCATAACAAAATGTTCATCAGTGAAAAGATACAAAATTTGACCTTGACCTTTGAATCTAATGACCTTAACCTTTGACCTCAACTTCTTACCTCAGTGTGTCTCTGTTTAATTCAAAACAACTTTGCTTCATAATGTCATAAAATGCTCATTAGTGAAAAGCTACAAAATTTGCCTTGACCCCTGACCCGATGACTTGACCTTTGGTCAGTTGACTCCTTGTCTAATTCTGAGCAACATTGCTTCTAAGTGTCATACCAAAATGTTCACCAGTGAAAAGATACAAATTTAACCTTAACCTTTGACCCAATGACCTTGAGTCAGGTTGACTCCTTGTTTAATTCTGATCAACTTTGCTTCATCATGTCATAACAAAATGTTCATCAGTAAAAAGATGCATAATTTGACCTTGACATTTGAACTTAATGACCTTGACCTTTGACCTTGACTTTTTACCTCAATGTGTATTTTTGTGAACTGAACATCTTGACCAAGTTTCATGAACATCGGTCAATAAATACTTAAGTTATCAGGCAGGAACAAAATGTGTGGACGGACAGACAGACAGACAGACAGACAGAGTGATTACTATAGGGCACCCGTATCTCCGATACGGGGCCCTTATAATTGAAAAAGGTTAACCACCTTTACGGCCTATATCACAACATGTTAAAATGCTTATGACCCAATGCTGTTATGCAAGCTTAAATGAACTCAAACCAGATTATCACAGAACAACTGGGCAGTCCATGTAAAAACAACATTTACATATAAGTGGCCACAACATATGTATGTGTACACAGTAGATGATTAATTGATTACAGTTTAATCCTACAAAGGTACATACACATTTGATTTTCTTTCGAGTAAAGTCACTAGCAGATGTTTTCAAACGGTTTACCTGTATTTCGAGGTTTAAGCCTTAAATGATGGCACTCAAAATGCGTTGCACGACACATGGGATTTGGGTGCACAGCGAAATTTAACCCCCGCGAATATGTGCTGAATACGAAATCGCAAAATATTGACCTCGCCAATTTAAAGCGCTATACATTATACCTGGTTAACACTGTCTTTAAAATAACAAGAGGCCCAAGGGCCTTAGCGGTCACCTGAGTAATGTCATAGGTACTGGTAGCTCAATTTTATTGTTGAGATGTGATGTGGAAATCAGCATGTAAGCTAAGTGAAATACAATACTTGTCATGTCATCAAAGGATAAGAATGTTAAAATATTGGTAAATTTTCCCTTTGGGGTCCCACCCTAGCCCCTTGGGATGGGGCAGGAATCCCAGTTTTCCAATGTAATACCCTCATCTACCAAAGACGAATCTGACAAAGTTTGAATATTTTTTTTGCTGAAAATGGATAAAATTATTTCCCTATATAAACTATAGTAAACTTTACCCCAAGGGAGAACGGATGGCTCTGGGGTCCTGAAATTTACAATTTAAACAAAGCCTCTGAGGATCTTTCCATCCATGCACAGAAATTGACTCTGAGGCTGGAGTAGAAGATTTTTGAAATATTGGTTAATTTTCACTTTAAGGCCCAACCCTGGCCCCTGGGGTTCAGGTAGAAATCCCAATTTTACAATTTGAAACCATCTTCCTCAAAGGATAATTCTCATCAAGTAAGAATAAATTCCTACAGAAAATTGTCAAAATATACCCAAAAGTGGTATTTCCCTATATAAACTTTACCCCCTCCCCCTGGGAGAACGGATAGCTCGGGCGTCCTGAAATTGACAATTTCAATAAAGCCCCCTGATGATCTTTCCATCCATGCCGGAAAATGACTGTACTTCTGAGTCTAG